AAGATAATCCAGTAGCTGAAGCAGCACAAGAGTAAAAAGTAGCAATTGATCAAGCAACGGAACTCAGTAACAAAATTCAAAGTGTGACATATGTTACAGAGAGGATGCTTATTCGTAAACACGAATGGCATGATTTATTTGGATAGAATTAATATACATATTAGCAGAGATTAAAAAGTCACTAAACGGGGGCAAAAGCGGAGCGAGCCTGCGCACGCAACGCAGAAAATGTTATATAGACTCAGACTGACAAGGATGACGTATGTATGTATGTATGTATGTACGTGCGCGCATACGTATGAGTTAATGCGCCGTGGCGTGTGCGATGCACTTTTTTATCCGTCGACAAACGAACGAACGGACGTGACGTGGCCGCGCTAATCAAAATCCGATGCGGCAGCAACGACCGCCGATTAAGTGGTCTCTTCTGAAGCCTCCCTCCGTCGCGAATTCGCGAAGCTGCAACGCGATTGGTCGGTTTGACATAGGTCCGCGCGCGCTGGCCCTATATCCTGTGTGTATACTTCGAATATACATATTTATATGCAAGGCTTGGTACGCTCGCGGTCCGCTTTCGTGTCCACGTCGATCGTCCCGGAGCGACACGACCGGAATCTCCCTCTCTCCCCTCCCCCCGCCCTCTAACCTTCTCTTCCTCCTCCCGGGCCGGGTTACCGGTCCATTTAAAATATGAAACGCGGTGACAGTTAAAATCTGCAGGAAGTTCATACAATGCAGTTAGACTCTGCGAGAGAGGAAGCCGGTCAATTGGAAACGGGGTGACCGAGTTACGGGGCTCTCTCAAACTACTACCCCGTGCCGCGTGCGCGTTATCCCTCCGCATCCCTTGGCAACCTGGCGTATCAAGTTTCTTAGCGGAATCACCTCCCTCCTTTCTTCCCTCCCTGTCTTTCCCTTCGCGGTGTACTGCCAGATCTTCGCGATGCGCCGTAAGGAAAAGAGTCTTGATTCTCTGCGAGAAATCGTGCCTGGTGTTTGTCTCTGCGATAACCACCGGTGGATGACCCAGCTCACGTCCACAAACGTGCAACCGTTTCTTCGCTAATGTCGCTTCCCGTTCACGTAAAAGAATTTCGATATACTGAACGTAACCGTCAGGTTGACTAAGATCCGAGTAGGAAGGATCGCAATGAAGTCTTTCCTTCGACGCATTCGAGGCGGAGAAAAGACTTTGCTCACAGTGTGTCACAGTAATGATTATTTTATCGACAAGTTCAATGATTTATCTAGCTGATGCTTTTTTTTTATATAAATTATATATTTTTATTGCTACTCTAATCGATATCTTAAATCTCAAGTCAAGTTCCATGTGAACAATCGTTCCGTTTCTCAGCCGAGTAGTCTCGATAGTTCTGTAATCAAAAGGCGACTATTGAACCGTCCACGTCTCTGGAAATATGAATTCCCGTTCTGGGTACCTCGCCTGATATACTCTTGAGACAAAATTCAAATAACGATTATACAGTCCTATAATGAACACGCAGAAGCGCACCTGAGTTCAAGCTAATCCAAGTGCAAGTACGTGACATTTCGGGACTTCAATAGTACACTCTCTCGCAATTGGAAAGTTAGAAAAGCCAAAACTCGACTTGATTTCTAGCGTTTCGAATTTTCTTGTGCTGTTTATTTATTTTTAAGAAATTAATATCAAATAAATTTTTATTCGCATTTATTAACAAAACGATTAAATATTAATTATTCAATTATATCGTAAGAGATTAATCACGAAATATAATAATAATAATTATTACGTAGATATTATTTCCAAGTGCTTCAGATAGGCAAAATTATTTATTTATAAGTGTTGCGATTAAGTGCTACATTAAATAGGTTATATTGTTCAAAATTTCGAAAAATGTTTGAACATGTTGATAATTGCTTGTTGATATTATAAGATAAAAATTTGACGCAGCATAATGGCGTAACGTCGATATCAGGATGGAAAGGATTAAAACGCGGTGTCATGTGAAATACGTTTACTATCTTGTTACAACGTCAATCAAAACGCACGGCAATAAATCATCAGCATACCATATCCCTCGGATCAAGCACCGAAAACTCTATACCACGTTGATAGCGCGTATACATATACAAATATAGGCATTACAATATTATCTTCCAGTAAACGTAATAAATTTTCGTAAACGCCGGCAGGTATTTTATATATGCGAAATATTTATCGCGCGGCGAGGTGTCCGAAATTAAATCGTTTCACCGCGCTATATCGAGGGAGATGATATAATAAAAGAACAGCGTACGGGTCAGCCATCTCGCCGTAAGGGTTCGGTAAAATCGAACGGGTATCGTTTGAATAGAGTGCACTTGGTCTTATTCGCCTCTTAAATTTACTATCCTTTCGTCGTAGTCGTCGTCGTCGTCGTCGTCGTCGTTGTCGTCGTTTCTGACTTCCGTCTGGCGTACGACGCGCGAGCTCTTATTAAAGGTGGCGATTTATCGCTAGTAATAACGGTGCGGTCTGGTGCTGCTTGCCGGCGAATGTCTCTCCCTGCCAAGGTCTTCTCCGGGAAGAGCAAAAGCTAGCTCGTGGCGCGAAGAGGAAGAGGTCAGAGGGCAGAAACTGGAAAGTAAGGGTTTATTCGCGTAGCAGCCCCCCCCCATTTGGATAGGGGAAGGTGGATGATGCGCTTTCCTCCACCGTCTCTCGACAGTGTGTTATCAAGCGTGCGTTGAGCGTGTGGCGCGCGCGCGCGCGTCCACGACGGGGTAGATTAACAATTCCTGACATTTTAGTGGCGCTCCGGATGCGTTAACGCCACTTCAAGTACCGGAGTGCCCGACTGTAACGAGCTCCAGGATTGATTAACCGCCTCTGTCGAGCGACCCGCAACTACGGACTACGTGCTTCTCTAAGCAAACGAGACGACGGCCCGACGAAAGATCCTCGGAACTTATAATTACCGCTTGATTAATCGCCATTTTGACAGATAACTCGGAAACGGAGGGAATTTTTCACTGACTCGTCGCTGTTGTGCGCGGATCGTCTACCGTATGCATCGATTAATCTTCTTAAAATATTGGACTATGTAAATTAGCTGCCGCGTCTACTGACTTTTCGGATAACCGATTCCGGGCAAATCGGTAGTCGCTAGTCATGTTAAAAACTAAAAGAAATAGGAAACATTTGTCATAATAAGAATATATCTTTCGAGCGTTCCACAATAAACGCGAGAATATTTGGATTGATTCGATTAACTTCCTCTCGTTGGAATTTTTAAAATAACAAGACTATACAAAACAAGAATTTACGCGTAAATTTGAAAATTTGAAAATACAGAAAATAATTAAGAAGCTTTTTCACCGACACGTTTATTCTGATTACATACGATCGGATTATTATTATTGTTGAATATTAACTGTAAATTTTATGTGAAAAGCGTTCTAAAAGAAAATCTGGATCACGTTATTAGGCATGATAGATAGTAGCAGGTGTTTTCCCACATCACTGATGATTGAAACGATGGCTCGGTCGACCGGGGTTTGGACGGAGCATAAACATCGATAGACAGAACAGGTCACTTGCTCAATGGGTTAAGAAGACGAATAAGCATTATTCATACCATGAACGCTTATCCTTAAGTTATTCATCTCATGAATTAGTAAACATGATGAAGAGAAGCTCTGACTCGCGCATATCGGCCCATCCCTACAAGAAAGTTTAGCAGAATATCAAGTTGAAACGATTCTCTTGCCTCTTATGTTTATTTCGTTATCGGAAAATAGTAGTTTTGTAATCAATAAATTTAAAAGGATTATTATATTAAAAATTGTCACAAAATAATTCTTTTATAAAAACGTTTTACATATTATTCCCCTTCATCATATTCATTTTACGTATTGAGATACGTATTATTTTAAGAAATAAATTAAATTAAAATGTTAAAATTATATAGAGAGGATATTTGTCGACGAAGGTAATCTGATTTTTTAAATTTTCCAAGATAATTTCCAATATTTTCTAGATTGAAAACAAAATCTGATAGATACGGTTGAACGTGCATATTATATTTATCTCGTTTCCTTCAATCTTTCCTAATAAAATTTTCAAAGAATTTCCAAAGAAATAGAAGGGTCTCGATATTCCCACATTCAAAATTGCTCAAGCTTCCAACGCAATTGTCAGTAATATTTAAAGAAAAGAGGAAATGATTTAGCAAAGAGAGCAATAGTTGCTGCTCGCGTCTCATCATCGAAGCGTGCGACTGTAGGATGGAAATAGATTACAAACGTAATATTTCAACTGTCGTAAATATTCCGCACTGCTGGTGTTGGCAGCATGCATGGCCCTTTCGTGCTGTCATTTTGTTTCCTTCCAACAACTGACAGTTGCAACGAAGCGATCTAATTGGGATAAAAAAAATTTTGTACCAGGTGGCCCTAATTAGTTATCCGTTATTAAGGATGGTCTCGCGATCCTAATTATCTCAGCGTAAACCATGACACGTCGAAAATAGCATCCTCAAGATTTCTGCGAATGTTGGAAATTTTGCATGTCATTAAAGTCATCAATATCAAATGAATTATGTATCACATATTTTTTATTTTCTCAATATAGGCTTTCCTTTTTCTTAGGTTCTTCCATTAAATAAATAAAAACAATCGTAAAAGTGAATGAGATTATATATTAAATTTCTTGCATACGTATATACATAAATCTATTGCCAGATTTTCTTTTTGAAATATATATTTAACAAAATATTTATCAACATATAGATATATCAAAGATATCTATACATATCTATATATATTTATACATATAATTAAGTATTACATCCGCTGAATCTCAATAGATTTATCGAAAATAAGTGTAATGAGATATATCAAAATATAAAAAAAGAATTAATTTATAAATATAAGGAATGTTACATAGAAATTATGAACTTCTTAATATGTGAGATTTTATGATAAATTAATTATGCAATTTATCTAAATTATATATTTTGCCTAGCAAGTAAAATAAATTTTTGTAGAAAAATATATTTCTCTTGATTTTTTTAAAATAAAGATTGTATAGGGATAGTCTCAATTTAAGTCTTCGTTTCTTGTTCTTGTGGTTGTTGTGCTTCGTCGACATCCCAGTTTTCGTCCGGCATCGGATAATTCCACTCTTGAATTTTGGCTGATCCAAAAATGGCAAATATTATGAAAGCAGAAATTTGGCAGACAACAGTAATCCAGAATGCAACCCTCCAACGTGCCATAGTGTGCTATAAAAAGTTATGCATTAATACTGAAATAAATAACGACAATATAAACACATTATTTTTACGACTGTACTTCAAAAGAGATAAAATTTACTACATCAGAATTATTGCAATATTACAACAAGTAAATAATATAACATTAAAATTCTTATTTTAAAGATTTTGGGTCACAATAAAATTGACTTTGCAGTTAATTACGCAAGAATTGATGTCTTTTAAAATGAATATCAACTTAATTTTTTTATATTGGGTTAAAGTCGTTTCATCTTTCGTAAAACTTCAAGAAAGTGGAATCTCCATACATATAAAACTCATAAAAAATTCAAGAAATTGACGATTATGTCACGTTGTTCTTAACGGACATTTCTTCCTTTTTTTCCTTAATCACATATAAAAAAATGTTCACTTACTCCTTCTGCTACAAGAGCACCAACTATCGGTGGTAGAATAAAAGCAGAAATAGTGCCCGGTGTATTCGTAATGCCCATGAGAATTCCTGCATAATTCGGGGCTAGATCATTCTGATTACAAAGATGACCAACAAATATAGCACCACAGATCACTAGACTGAGGGTTAGTAATACAGTCGATGCTACACGGTCGCAACCAATATATGCGATTATAATGAGAAGTATGCTAGGTGGTACTGTGCCTAAAAGAAAGAGAAATATGTACATTGGATGTATTAAATATATTAAATATATCGAGAATATTTATAAATTATATAAAAGTTAACAGGACATATGATACAAATTGATTTATATCAATTATAATATAACTTTTACAAAAATAAAATGATTCACTATAAAGTTACTGAAAATTACAGTAACAGAAATAACAGTGTCACATGTATTATTCGAAATCACGACCGGTCGTACGAGTCACATGGGAAATTTGCAAACAATACTTTATTTTTCATTAATATGTATAATCGAAATCTAAATATTTAAGTTATATTGTTACATCCGCTAATGCTGATGTAAAAAAAAGAGGTAGAAAAATATTATCTTATCTTATTAATTAAAATAGAATATACATATGTGCACTTTAATACAATTATTATTATAATTATACTAAAAAGAGAGAGATCATATTTTCTCGAGTTTTTTCATGAATACAAAAATTCTCTTGTCTACAAAATTATTTTTTAATCTATTATAAATGTGAATTATGTTTCCATATGACGACAAAAGTATATAATAATGGCATGAAACAAAAGTATATTTATAAAACTATATTATATGGATTTTATTTCAAATACATACTTATAAATACCGCAGTTTTACGTGCCATTGTTTGCGACCATAAACCTTTTTCTCGTCCCCAATCTAGAATTCTTCCAAGTGCTGGATTCATAAAGGCGTGCAGAAGATACGGCGTGCAAACAATACTAGCATTCTATAAAGTATTTCGAGAAAAAAATTTACACATGTCATAAAGAGTAAAATAATATTATTGTATACGTGAAATGTAAAATACGTATTATTTTACTCGTAATATTATTTTGCTCGTAATATCTCTTGGATTTAATATAACTTGAAATAATAATATACGTATAACATAATACAAGAAGAAATTAAATATTATAATTATAAATTATAATATTATCCCCATTACACACTCACCGTTGTAATATCGTATCTTAATATCTTGTTCATGTAAAGCGGCAATTGGGTGAGTAGGAAATACCAAACAAAGTTGCCCAAGGTATTTGTAGCGAGCAAAGCCAAAAATGGTACCGATGTAAATATACTTTTCCATGGGACCTTCATCTTTGAAGAGCCAGGCGGACGATGGCCATATGAGCTCACGATGAGCGATCTTTCCTGTTCCGTTATATATTTTTGCTCTTCCGGACAATCGGCGAAAAATATGTAAAAGATGACGCACCAGATCAACGGTAGCGTTCCGTGGATGTAAAAGATAGCTTCCCAGCCCACGTAATTTAATATCATTCCCGAGGTAAGAATAGATATCACCGTGCCGAGCGATGTTCCGGCGTATATAATGCCGACCCACATGGTTTTCTCCTCGTATACGACCCATGTTCCCAGAAGAACGTTTACTATAGGAAGATTCGCTGCGCTCATAAGACCGGTCAAAAATCTCACGAAGTACAGCACATATAACTCGTTGGCCGAAATCGGTACCAATATCGTTAAGATTCCATTCGCCAGCACGCAGATTAACAATACTAATTTCGTGTCGAACCTGCAGACCGATAGATTTCCTTTGACACAATTGGAAAGCTATATATGCCTTGATAATAAATAACATTACTTATAAACTATTATTATACATATGTTAAATTCTCTAATCCTCAAAACAGTAATTATTTATTGACAATATAAATGTACGTCGTGTGTAATATTGTGTTTGTATATAAAAAGAACTCTTTATATTATACAAAATATAAGGTTTAAATTAAAATGTAGCCTCACCGATCCGCCAAATATCCCGCTGGAAACATACCAACGAGATATCCAGCAAAATATATGCTAATGACGAGACCTTGTTCGCTCGCCGTCCATTCGAATGGACCATCGATGTCGGCTTCCTCAGGAACATCGAATTCTGGACATTCGTCCGACCAATCCGGTACACCAGGTTTTTTTTTACCATACCAATGATAGCCGTCGCGATATTCACCTTCAGACCGTAAATGATCATGTTCGCAATGCATAGCATTATTGCAAACAAGTATCGTACGCGTATTTCTAAAGCCAAAATTATAAAAGATATGTGAAAAGATATTTACTAAAAGTGGAATAAAACTTGTTTGTTTAATTTATAATAGAACTTAATAAATCACTTGCTATGACAATGATTACGTGCCAGAATGCGAGAGAAAGTGAGAGAAAGTAAGAGAAACAGAGAGAAGAGAATCATTAAATATGTATTATTTTTATATTACAATGCACCACGCCGAAATGCTAAAAAAAATCCGTCTTCTATAAAAATTTATAATTATAATGTAGATTTTTGCAATAAAAAGGATACCAAATAAGTGATTCAAGACAAATAATGATGAAACGATAAAATTTATTAGTTATACATAGAAAAATTAAATTACATAAATGTCCTTTATATAAGTAAGTATTCATTTTATAACGAATAACAAAATCATTGCTTTGCAACTGTTTGCAACTATTAATCGTATACTGCTAATGAGACAAAAAAGTTCTTTTCTTACCCATCGTTCTGAATATTCAATGCGACCTCGATTAATGAATCGATGACATCGATGACCATCACAATCGTTTCAAATCGTTACACCAGTATCGCCGTTTTCGTCATTTGTTTTTGTGTCGATACGATTCACGAATTCAGTTTGGTCCGATCGTACATCCGTACAAACGGCTCGATGACGACTATCGAATTATATCGCCGACGATGAGACGGCACCCATGCACGATACTCAGATTCCTCCTCCACGAATATCTTTCTAGATATATTAAGTCTCGACGTCGAGCATTCCTATCGATGCGAGATTACAGGCCGCAGCGAGAAGCACACTGTCATTCACTTGTAAAGTCAATACAGTTCGAGGCTTCACTGCCTTACTCAATTCCGCTAATAAATATGTTATTCCCTATGCCAGACGATGACAGTTGCGCGTATTATTCATATACTCGTGATCACAATGTTGCTAGCCCAAAACGATTTCGGGCCTGCACAAACAGTACAATATATATAAAAAAAAAAAAAACAGATATTTTCGTCAAAGACATTTTTTATATTTTTCGTATGTTTGAAATAACAAATATACTAAAAGTGAATTTTCAATGTGTCGCATATAAGCAATATCCAATCTGCGATATTGATTTTAATTTTCCAATTTTAACATCATATATGTTTACTAAATATATCCGCTAAATAAGATAACGTTCTTACTCAATTTTCTTATATCGCAATGCAACACTCTCGAGCTGATAATACTTTAAAAAGTATTACTATAAATATGTATCTTTTTATACTTAATGTTTATTAATATGTTAATATGTATTTATTAACACTTCCAATTTATAGAAATCGTTTATGTCCAATTTATTGAAATCTTTATTTATAACATTTTTAGATATTCACAGGCTATTTTGAGATTATTTATAAGCATTTATTTTGAGATTATTTATAAGCATTTAAGAATTTTACAATTCAAAAATTTTTTATAATAAAAATGTTTTCAATAAAAATGTAGAAATTGTTGAATAAATGAATAATTTTATTAATTTAATATTTACCTAAAGTTTTCCTTTTCTTTTCGTTAAATTAAAAAAACATCATGAGACAGCTTCAAAACATGGTATAAACACACGTACAACGTATTAGATAAGTTTTAAACACTAATAGAGAGAAAAAAAAATGATAATAGATGTACAAGGAAAAAAATATGAGTGATGTCCGCAGACACTGGAAACTAGATATAATTCAACGTGTGTGAGTCGCGTTACGAAAGGCAGTGCGACACGAGTTGCCCGACGGTCACACGAGCACTAAACCAAACTATGGAAGCGCGGCTGCGTTTTAACTTTCAATAATTTGCACGTAAATGATGATTTCATAATGTGGAACAACATCGCCTTGTATTTGCTGAATCATTACATAAAATCATTTAGAACAATTTTTTCATATCTGCCGTTTACAATACTCTCTACTCACGTGCGATACAATTTACACAATTACTTAATGTAATTACACGATTACATTGAAAAAAATTGAATAAGTGAATCTTGCCGAGAGAGTTTACTAAATGTAAAAACTGTGCTAATAATTAGCGGAATAACGTTGTGAAGTAATTCAATCACTCGCACTTGATCGTTTAACTTGGTTGCGTAAATTGATCATCTTTATTTTCAAGGTCCTTCACTTCTTTTTACAAACGATTTCTTGAAAGCGGAGCCTCGCCAAGGCAGCATTAATCATAGTCGGCGCATTCATTTTTTAAAACCGGTCTTTGTGGCAGTCCGGGCGTTATTTATATTGCGTTATTCCCGCGATAATTAAAACCAAGCGTGCCTGCATTGATTACACAAGCGCAGACGACATCATTTCATCTCCGTTAACGGCCCGACGACAGCAAGGTCTTACTCGCGTGATATCCAATGTGAATGTTCAACTCATTATCTCGGTAGGCTGCCAACATCGAAACTCGAATCTCTTTCCTCTTGCCGTGATACGGTGGCACGTGATAGTATTCTTAACGGACATTCGTTGGCGAGACGTCGATGATGTTTATGGGCTGAGGATAATGGGGTCTCCCCCGGCGAGCTCATGTCCAAACGGATGAGGAACGTCTCTAGCCCGGGACTCCCTGCCGATCGCGACCATAGCCTTGAATATCTGTGCATTCAACATGTAGTAACTCCCACGAATTATATTTAACGCATACGTGTCATATTTTCCCGCTTAGCGCGCCTAGATAAACTAGATAAGTTAGATAAAAATGGAATTAAGATATTATTTTAGTTACATGTTATGTTGCATGTTAAGGTCATTAATAAATAAACACTCTTGTTCATATAGATTATTTTATCAATTATTTATTATCACAACTTTTTACATGGTAAATGTGAAAATGATAGCAATAGTTTACATTTGGATAATTTTAGAATTTATTATAAGCGAATCTCTTCCTATATCATAAATATTAGAATAATGCTTTTATTATACCTTAATATGATATCTGTGGTGTATTTGTGAAAGATAATCTGCCAGATGGACTGGTTTTACTTTTATCATAAAGAGCAAATATTCTTATGTAACAAAATGTAAGGAAACTAGAGTGAGAAAGAGAGAGAATGAGAAAGGATGCAAATACTGATTAAAGATATAAAATAATGTTCACAGATGATTTTCCAGCTTTCAGAAATTTATTTATTTCCTCGCGCGATTGTTACGTAAGCTGTGCGTTATCGAGACAGTGAGTATGTATATCTAATACATTAGAGCATATAATCTCACAGATGCATATAATAAATAATGAATTATTTATGTATTTAGCATAGATAACAGATAGCATAGATAGAACGTTACTTGTTGTTCTCTACATCCTTGATGTCATAGAAGATATTCTCGTGCTTCAATTAATGAAGCATTAAACTGATCTGTTTATTTACATGTAAAATTATTATTGATCTCAATAGAATACGAATGACGAGTGAAGCAGTCTGTTTTTAAATACTGTGTGAGAGAACATCACTCGCGATAATGCGCCTATGTAGGTCGATCTATGACGTCGAGATAATTTGCGTAACGCACTTATCGCGCAACGGTCGAGACTTGCGCGTAACGGACTCCTTTAGAACTTCTAAATATTACATATTACATATTGCGCCGCATCTACACGTTACATTCTTACATATTATATTTTTACGTGGTACATAAAGTATTCTGTTCGACAACGGAATTTTTAACGCAGCGCTGTACCGCATTACATATACGTCTTGCTTTCTTTTTCGGTGCAAACCGCATACGTTTCTGCACCGTTCGCCGCCCGATGGGTAGTGGCGAACACAAAACTGTGGACAATAACGTCGCCACCGACCATCACAATATTTTTACCAGAGACCGCCGGTCTCTTTCGTGCGGTAAGCATGTGACAAGCGTGACGAAACGTTCGTAGAAACGAGAAGCGTACAGAAGTGGTTGCTGTGGCAGTCTCGTGACAACGACGACGACGACGACGACGACGACGACGACGACGACGACGATGACGACGTCGACGAAGCTTGGAGACGCACGAGTTGCCATCATCCTTGCGTCTCTTCTGGGCTTATTCGGCCCAGCGCACACCTGCATTCGTGCCGGGGTGAATGCTCGCCCACATACCTGCTAGAGGAATATGGCAGGTTGAGATGGGGGAAGCGGGGAATCCACTCGAGAAAACGCAAAGCTTCGCACACCGGTAAAAATGGATACGTCGTCGTCGCACCCGGGGAAAGGGAGAGAGGAAAGAGGAAAAATACGAGGAGACCAAAACAAAAAAAAAAAAGAAAAAATCGGTAGGGGCACTCGAAAATGAAAAAAAGAGCATCTGACATTACACGACATTTTGCGTCGATTAAAGAATGCGAAGCACTCTTGGGCACGACAGAACAATAATGATGATCGCGGTGGTCGATTAGCGCGGCACAAACGCTTGAAAATCACAGAATGGGATTGGACCGCGAAGGATTCAGGACACTTCAGCCCCATCGTCGCCACCGCCATCGCCACCGCTTCGTATTGTCCAGGCATTTCGGGACTTGCTGACTTTGTCCGCAGTGTAAACACGCTGAGCACAACTCTCAGACCGCCGCTACTCGAGACAGACCCGTCAAAGACTGGTATTCCTCGCCGACCGAACACCAATTAACTGCCGGCTGCAGGTTGAAGCAGGTTGACCGTGCTAACGAGCACGATGCCCTTTTTAACGCTCTTTAATTTCCGTCCACTGTTGGGACCACCTACTATGAGAAAGAACGTCGACCTGATATTTATTTCAGTTGACCTATATATATATGATCCATATTATATTAAATTATATTCAAAGGCTAAAGAGTAATTGAAATTTGTCTATCAATTTATAACAGAAATTCTAAAACGGCACATAGGATTAGATACACGTTTATCGTTTGTCAAACAGATATCGCAGAGTAAACTAACGAAGTTTCAACAATCTTAATTTTTTTCTCTTCTTTCTGCAGATGTTCAACAAAATGTAGTGCCAACTCTATTAAATTTCTATTTCTACTATTAAATTTCCTTATAATCTTGTAGTTATTTTTTTTTTTATTACGATGCGATGAATAATGAAAGACAACATTGAAGAAACAGGAAAGTTGCAGTACTTTTTAATATTGTCGATTATCTCTCATACACCAAGCGTCGGCTCAAGTTTCCAAAAAAATCAGAACCGTGTATAAATAATATCCGAGAACGCGACTAATTTGCAAATCAGAGGAAACGATTTCCAAACAATGACACGAAACGTGCGATTGAGGAAACGAAGCGGGACAAAAAGCAATATATCACCTCGCGCACTATCTTCCATGAAGTCTATACCGCCCGAAGCGTGCTGGAGCGTACGGTGCACGCGCGTTTTTCGCGTTGCATTTAAATGAAACGGACAGGTTCCATCGCGCTCGAACGCACGAGGAGGAGCAAGCCTCCGCTGAGCGCACGCGCGACATGCATTGCCCCGCGAAGAATGGGGAAAAAAAAAAAAAAAAAAAGAAAGGGAATACACACAGGAGACGAAGAGGTGATATATGCGGACATTAGTTATACACGAGATGTATGAGGTTTTGCGGCGTCACTCTGCCACTGTCAGATTCCGGCGCGGTGCTCGTCCCGACATAATCGGGACGACCCATATTTCCCCACTGCAATGCGTCAAGCACCCCCCGTTGCGATTCCCCGTTTCGTACCTTCATTTTTCACTACCGCTCGTGATCTCTCCCGCGCCCAAATTCACCTTCCATGTTCGTCGCGAGCGTCTCCACACCGTTTCTCCACATCCACCGCCGCCGCCTCGCCATCTCCCTTTCATCCCTCGCGGCACACGGCCCGCCGGCGTCGCGACGATTGTACATCGCTTCCGGTGAAATTCTCCTCCTCGATAGAATACGGGGGTCCCGATCGAGACGAATCGATTCGCGAAATGCCGCTGGCACGGCTGGAACGGCAGTCAAAGCGTCGTAGTAAATATTGGCCGACCATTTTCTATCTATTTCCGATGCTACGAGCGCACCTACTTTGATAAGCGAGCTGGCGCACGAAGTAGTGAAACTGAAATCGACGGCCACGCACTAAATTTTCTCTATCGATACGTGAAAAAAAGAAAACACAATCCAAATAAAAAGAAAGAATTATGAGGTGCTTGCTGAATCTATAGTTTCATACCTTAAATTTCGAATTCTGAAAAGAAACATTTTTCTGGTTGATTTATATTTCGAGAGGACGATTGAAAATTTCATTGAATATGAAGCTATATGATCTTGGTTAAATAATATATCATTATCATGATCTTGCATTCATCGATCGCAGCGCGATGCTTTTGTGAATGTATGTAAAAACTGTAAGCAGAGCTGCTTCTGGAACTTTTTCTAGAGGAATATTGGATTATTACTAGGGGGAGAAGAGAAAGCACACACCAGACAGCTATCCTGATGAAGACTGTCAATATCGATTTTTTTCTTAGAAAATGAAAAATGCAACTGTTGCTTCGTATATAATATAAAATATATGCACTTTATCTTATGCCCTGGAAAAACGTATGCGTCATGACATTACCAAGACGATGGCGCTATTGAACAGCCATAAAACGTTTGTTTGTTTGATGAGTTTACACAGCTTTCATAGTCAACGGCAGCAGTCGGTCGACCGACTGTCACTGAATGAAATGCTAATGATGACAGATGACCGAGAATCTCTTTGTTCTACTTGATTTGCAGCGAAAAAGGATGTCGGTTATTTGTCTGCAGTAGCCGAGTTATTGAGAAGTTACACATTTCCATGTTATACCTTATAAAATATTTTGTAATTAAACGTAATTCATTAAGACTTTGATATTTATATTATGTGATAAACATTATTATCCGTGCTTACAACAAAGTATCGCTTATGCAAACATAAGTTACATAAATCATCGACACAATTATTTCCTCGCAATTTCTCCGTCTTCTCTAATGTCATAATCCAACATTATTAACAAAGTTCGCATTAATTGAATATACGATCCAACAAAATGAAACATAAATATGTAAATGTAATAATGAATTTCATAAAATAACTAGAATACTGTTTATCTTACATTTTTCTCAATAATCAGAGAATTTGAACATTGATTGTTTACATAATGTAAAACAATAATCGGTATATTTAAATATTATTTATTCTAATATATATATATATATATATATATACATATATATATATTAATTATTCATTTGCATATAAGTTGAAACAAAAAATGCTTGTATTTTTAGTAGATGAAGGGCGCCTGTTTTGTGTCTGACTTGTTTTCGTATATCTATATATACTTATGTGAATCTGTATGTGTTAGTTTGACATCTTTACGAATGTGGGACAATTTTGTCACCACACTTGGAAGAGTACATAATAGCATTTCATAGAATTGTCAGTACCTAATTGTCACAATGCATAACTATCAGACAAGTGGTCGTACAAAAGGCGTATTATTCGATACGAATAATAAGAAATAGGTCAATATTCATAAGCTCGATATAAAAATGCTCTGGCTGCAATGAACAGAAGTCGAGTTGAGAGTAAGCAAACCTAGTAAACATGCGTACGGCAGTGCTGTTTCTACTCTTTGTCGTGGCTTGCGCCATGGTCAAAGAGGCCGTAAGTATTAATCATAATTAAATCCTTAATTTTCTTTTGTAGAACAAGATAATAAGTTATTCTAAATTTAATTTTTAATATATATATCGTAAATTTAATATTATATTTCAATTTGTATCATATTGTCTTTCATTCATAGAATTCGGAACCAGGATTTTTTGAGGATATCTTGTATCACTGCCCATTGTTAAGCCATTTTTTCTCAAAGAAAGACTGTTGCTGTGATGATGACCACAGTTGTTGCACTACCACTACCACCACCACTACGACTACTACTACTACTACTACTACACCTCCCGGTGGGAAGAGAAGAAAGCGCTGGGTTATTACAAATTATTACAACAACTCGTCAGATATAGCAAAGCAAAATGCAACACGAAATGACAAACAAACATGAGTTTATAATGAATATATTTGAATATATATAATATGACGACGATGAATAATGCAATGTACATATAAACATGCTAATATCAGATTCTGTCTAACAAATGGCTAAATATTTTCGTAAAATCTAGGAAATATTAATACTCTTATCTTTGATATATTCTTTGAAGATAATATTAACTACATACAATGCGTATATAATTTTTATTTACAATTTATTTTGTTGTCGATTCATACATGTATATAATATACATGTATGAATCGACAACAAAATAAATTGTAAATAAAAATGCATAAAATAAAATAATTTGAGTAATTAATATTTGAGTAATTATTAATTTATTATAAGTATATATTACCTGTTATAAAGAATTTCTTTATCGTTATTCTCTGAATAAATACATTTCACAAAAACTTCAAGTAAAAGCTATGAAATAATTCATTAATTTAGATAATTAATGAATGATCTGATATTTCATTAAATATTTATGCATAACGCAAATGTCAATGACAATCGCATAATTTCAATTTCTAATTATGATAATATGGTTTACGCATTAAAAAAATAAATTAAATTTGCATTTAATATCTTTATATGTGACTTCTTTATAACGCGAGATATATCAATTATGAAATCAATAATACATCGAAATATGAATCTCTCTGCAAATATTTATCTTTAATCAAAACCATCTGTATGAAACATGATTATTATGCTGCTCTTATCTTTCGCTGACGGCCAAAAAATTTGACGTTAACATAATTATTCAGAAAATCTGACACATATTCTTTTTAATATTATTACACACCACAAACTACATACTTTGGCCTCTTTTAGAAGATTAATGAAATAAATTATTAACGTAACGCGATGAAATCTACCTTGAAGCTGAGATAAGACAAAGGAAGCACAATAACGTCGACGAAAATATATCATATTCGTCGGTGAATGTTCTTAAGTCTCTCAGTGGCGAGGCGTATCATCCCTTAGTCGACTTCATGACTTATTGTTGAAATGAAAGCGGTCTCGAGGGGCTTGAAGGAAAAAGAGTTACCCGTAACGTCTCCACTCGGGCGAAGTTCAAACGGGGGTAATATACCCGAAGGGTATACGAACACCTTTATCGCATTAAGAGCGACGAGCTGCCGTCTGGACGTACGCGTGAGACTATACCCCCCCCCCCTAATCTGACCTGTACGCGCGTCTGCTCTCACGGACACGTCACGGGGCTCATCGCGTTTCGAATCAAACCGAAATGTCTTGCGTATCTCGAACGCGAGCGATATGATCCTCTTAATGTGTCCCGAGGCTCACGAGTATTATAATATTCTCCTCTCCCTCCCTCTTTCTTCCGCCGATCGTCTGTCCACAGTGCCCTCGGGATCACCCTCCGTTTAAGCCGGACGACGAAGCCCCGACGAACATCGGCTTACATGCATACTGATGCGTCGCGCACGCGGATACGTATTAATATGTTAATACGATGCCGCCAGAGATTATGTGAGACTGTTTGATATTACAGCTGCTATTCGTTTGCCTCCGCGCGATCGGCCCTTTGTCGAATATTTTCGCTTTTGTGTTCGATGAGATACGTCGATGGAGATACATATTTATAAAAATATTCGACCGGTTAATATAGAGAATGAAAGATTACATTTGTATTCCTTTATATAGGATGAAACGCTCTCGCAGAAAAAAAAGAACAGACTGTTACTTTATTACTTCGACTACTTTTTTTTCTCAGTCATTTCGACGTTGTTCTCCAACTGATTCAACATTGAGTTTGCACATATTTGACTAGTGGGTTACTTTAACTGTGTGTGTGTGTTAACGCAGAGTAAACCGAAAATAAATTCAAATAAAAGGATTGAAAGTTTTAATAATTTCGTAACTTCTCTTTGACGTTGTAAGTTTTCTCGATCTCTCATGACAGACTTAACGTCTTCGCGAATTGCGATCATGAATTGCGGTCACAACCTCGAGAAATAGTTCGCGCTGTCTCGCGCAGTTCGCCGGCGTTCGCTTTTCCGGCACGGTTTTCTTAAGATCGTTGTAAGCTGTCGACTGCGAAGAAGGAGCTCCCTGTCGCAAAACGACGCGCACGATTCTGACGCCTCGCGCCAGCAAGAATGCGGCGTCAGCTAAGCACATTCGTAAGCTTGCCGCGTTATGACATTCCTACATCGCGAGAGAGAGGATATGAGGGTAGAGAACAGCGAGAGATGTGACGCGGCGTCTTGTTAACGGCACACGATGTCCTCATTATCGCGACTGACGATGATGACGATGCAGGTACTGCGTGATGCGAAGTGGATTCTTCGCTCTTTGAATGATGAAGGCGCGAGAGCGAGATGAGCAAGTGGGGAATATACGGGGAAAACTGTGGACTCATTAAGATGGTCTGGTATTTGTTAAGGACGAGGGACGTTTACATTTCTAAGAGAGGAAAGACATTTTAGTGTCTTTAGGAGAATTCAGTAATTTCCCAAAGTAATATACATTATCCATAAAAACATAAAATATAATTCCCTTTTTTGAAAGTCGACGAAGCAAAGTTAAAAATGTTATTGTTGGAAAAATGTATGTGTCTACAAAAACTGTGACAACAAGCAATTTTTATTTAAAACCAGTTTATTAAAGTCGACGAACATCCAACGGAAGCATATATTTTCTATCATATATTTTCTATCATATATAAAGTTCGTATAAAAAAATCACAAATATCGATCTGCGTTGGCTTCAGCTTAATATAAAAGTTATTTCGCTATTTCCAGATCGTTAATAATTCCACGAGAAAAGAATTGTTGTAGCTACCTACAATTATTAACATTATTAGCTTGAATATATTATCTTAGGATAAACCTTAGCTTATATCTTATGTAATTTCAGTAGACGTCCAATCTCAAGTTTCCATCTTATAAGTCGTGCACGAACAATGTCGTTATATATTGAAGCGAATACACAAACAAAACGTCGTTTTTAATATTCCATATCTCTACCATCGGAAATCTTTGGCATCCCGCAGAGAGACACGGTACTGTCTATAGCAAGCGAGGAATGAATTAAAGTATCTGCAGAGACTTTGTTTCCCGCGATAGCATTCCGAAGCCAAAGGGCTCGTGATTTCTTCGATCGATAATCATCCTTCTGTATCGCACGTTCCTTTGCCCGTCCATTTAACGATCAATTTCTGTTGCGAAGCTATAAAATTAAATTACCAATCTTTTCAGCATCAGATTACACAAAGAACAATAATTTTTACATATGTGTACACACAGATATCGAAAATGATTCACCGAGAAAAATAACTGTTTGTCAGCCGAAGAAATACGAGGCTGTAACGAAGTGTTGGGCGCTATCGATCTTCGCCGCGGCTCGTTCCCGCGTCATTAATCCTAAATAAGGTTTATAAGATAAAGTGGAATGGGTTTGCGAAGGTCAATAAATCTGGAGGAAACGGTAAATTTGTTTCGTACTCCAGATTCATGGATGCGCGATACTTACGAAAGCTGCTTTTACACAACGATTTTTATTTTTTGCTCTTAATGTATCTTTTAAAATTCTAAAAGCTCCAGTGATATTTCGCATATTTGAAATTTTATATTTATTTGATAAAAATATCTCGCATGCATTTTGGTTCAAATTACGTGACGTAGCTATTTAATTAAGTACATAATTGTTGTTTGTATCTTTTGTATTTGTCAGTACGTAATGTCCATGTCAGAGGCATCACGATTTGCTGCATGCTTTTTAGCAATTGGTTAACAACCCCGATTCTCATTATTCCAAGCGAAACGTAACACGCTCCGGCACGACTTATTATGCTGCGCGCCCTGAAATTACGAGGCGGGCCTCGACGGGACCATTCAAGCAATTTCATAGGGAACTATCTCATCGGCAATATGAAATTTCACGGCATCTCGTACTATGTTACCCTTCTCAAGCCATGATGTTACCATAAATATTCAGGTACCGTTTCTGACCCAGACAGGTAACAATCCCGCTTTATGAGAATTTGCAAAACACATGTACGTGGGTAAGCATGTACGTAATAGTTTTTTACGTCTCTCGACTTTATATAGAAGTGTCTTTATTCTTTCAAAGCCACTTTAAATTGATAACTGTTGATAACTCGATGATAATAATATTGATAATAATAATAATAATAATAATAATAATAATAATAATATACGATGAATGAAGATTCTTCCTTAAAAGTTAAACGAGATTAAATTTCTTTTATCAGTTGCATAATTTGTGATTCGCCAAATTCGAACGCTCGCGAATGAAATAGCGTTTAAATTTCACGTCCGGCGTAGACCGCCGATAAGGTCTTCGGGGTTCACGGAAGGATCGGAAGGGCCACGCCCTGCTCGCATTGCTCGTTATTCACGGCGTGAAGGTGCTCCATCTCTCTCGCGCGCTCAGATCTCCTCCATGAATCTTATCCGGGCCGCGGGTCTCCTCGTTAAATCTCGCCAATCAGATATATATCGGGGATGCGAGGCGGTTTCGTGGTCGGGCGGTCGCTGCCCGTTTACACCGGGTAAAATACTGCGTCGGCAGATGCTCGCCTCGCGAGCTTAACCCTCTCTCGATTCTTCAGCGGCTGCGGTGGCGGCGGTAACGGCGGCGCATGCACTATGTTTATGGTGTACGTTGTCCGCGCCTTGTATACTGTAGGTTCTCCTACGATTTTGTGTGAGGAGTAACAACCAACCAGCCAGCCATGCAACCAGCCAGCCCAGCGTCGGTGTGTTTCTGGCGCGTCGTTGGAAGAGCGACCGCGCCGCAACTTCCCGCCTCCGCTTGCTCGTGGTGGCTCCCTCGGGCCACCTTCTCATTA